GACGGCGTCAAAAAAACAGAGTCAGGAATTCAGCACACACCCTGGTAAAAAAATCTCGCTGCACTGAGCAGGGGGGTTGTTCTGATGCTTTATCGACAGAAACAATSGAATAAAAAAGATTTTAATATCAAACACACAGGGCATTTCCATAAAATATTCAACTGAAACAGCAAATACTCAAAATAACCACTTCAGTATTCCCAGGCCGCACCTGGATTTTGCTGGAAAGGTTCCATTCCCAGCTGAAACAGGAATGAGTCGAGCAAAAAATGGAAGCAACTGGCCCAGACCTTTGCAGAAGTCTGCATTTATTTAACAGTTTCTAGCTAATTAATTGCTCTGAGCCTTGAGGCTACTATTACTTTTAATCTATTTCTGCAGAAAGCRACCCTTGGATTCGTGGAGCTCATGCTCAGACAAGGATGGTACTTCCCATTTCCACAGGAGAAAAAAAAGGATGAAGAAAACTAATCTGGCGCTGGGCACAAGCCAAAAGGAAACAAAGGAGTGATTATAGAGACCTCCATTTGCACTGAGTGCAAGAAATAYATCAGGAATTAGGCTCTTCTAGTTTGAACTCAGCATTTGTCCGAGTGGGATATGAAAGCAGAGAGATTTCTACACTCTCCTGGAAAGAGGTGGTGGTTGTCTTTCCCCACTGTCTCACTCCAAAATCCAAGGAATAAAAATAAGTTAAGGGTATTGACTTTATGGATCTTACTGTAAAATGAGTGACTCAGAGCCTTAACCACAATATTCCAGGGAACAGGAAAACATCCAGTGAGGAGTGACTCTTATTTCTATTTTTTAAGCAATGTCACCAGGAACTGATGGGAAAAAACTGCTGAGGGCAAAGTTTTWAAAAAGTATGTCAGCCCCCTCTGCTACCCAAAAATCCAACAGCAGAATATATACACATAATATATAAATATATATCTSTATATACACACAGCCTGACCCCCAAATAACCTCCCAGCCTGAGCCACCCCACTCCARCTCCAGGATCTGAGCCAGGAATTAATCTCCTGCACACAAACTAACACAAACACCAGAGGCACTCAGCAGCAGCAAGGAAATTTAGGGCGAAAAGGTCGTGTCTAAGGGAAAAAAAACCCCACCCAAACCACTCCCCCAGGCYTTGGCTGGGAAAAGGCAGAGGGAGAAAAGGCAGGCACTAACCTGAAGGTGACTTCTGGCACGAGGCATTTGACCCCGTTGTGGAAGGGCCGTGTCAGGGAAATGGTCTGGCTGACCTGATCCACAGCAGACACTCTGCCTTGGTAGACTCCCAAGCTCTCTCCACAGTTAATTGACACAATGCTGCCCAGCCAGTCCGTGGCCATAGTTCTGGCACCGAGTTGCTGTGGAGAGACGCAGGCCTGGCTGTAACGAGAGGGACAAAGTGACAACCTGAATCAGTGTCAGCCGCAGCCCCCAGCCCAGGGCCCTGGCTCCCTCCCAGGCCCCGCTTGGTCAGCTCCTCTCTGCTTTGCGGGGAGGAAACAACATCCCTACGGACACCRGTGATCCCAGCAAGAGTGTAAATCCCTGGATTGGGCCTTGCCTTTCCCACTGTATCCCAGATCTTTGATTGACTGACTGAATTCAAGAGTCRCAGCCTCCAAGAGAAATCTTTCGTGTTTTGTGGACATTTTCCCTGTGATTTCAAACSGGGAATTTGTCACCACTTCCCTTTTTGAAGGGGGACACTGGGGCAGAACAGCTCCTGCCAATATTCAGCAATGAGAGGATTGATCACTGCMTGGGCAAATGAAAAGCAAAGCCTTGAAGGAGAGGAACCCCAAGCAACACCTTTAAAGGAACAGAGATACAAAAGGGGTGAAAATCCCAATCACTGGAGTCCAAGACAAAGTGYCCCTGCTCTGCAGAGGCAGGATCAGTGATACTGCCACAATAAATAAATAAATTAAAAAAACAGTTGCTCTCCTTCCCAGCACTCGAGTTCTATCAGAATCAGGGAGTTAAAACTCCAATTTGTTTAGACAGATGTTTTCAACACTCCTGGAAGCAGCTAAACAGCTCCTTTGATCTGAGATTTCCCAGTGACAGGCTCACGAGCGTCACRGAGAGCGAGAGACATGACAAGCTCCTAAATGTATAGATTTGCCTTTCATGCTGCAATCAAACGGGGAGAATGTTTGATATTTACTGTGAGCAGCACAAAGAAACACAGCAGACAACCCAGGGAGCTCAACATCCATGCATAAATCACATTTCAGGGAGAGGCAGTTGCAGTCTCTGCAAGCTGAGCCTCTTGGAAAAAGATGCAAAGAAAAAAAACTTGGATGAGGAAAAAAAATCTCACTTCCCCCAACTTTCACAGGACTAAAARCGGGGGATGCTTCAAAGGAAAGAAAACACTAAATTTGGTCACCAAGCCGTAAATTCATTAGGAGCAGCCTCCTCTCCTTCCTGTGGCTGTGAGTTTACATTAACCCACGATGACAATGTCTGCATTCCAAGGAGATGGCTGACAAAAASCACTCTCAAAACACAGATAACACATCCCAGAGCAGCCACAGGAAAACTAAAATTTCATTGCATTTCCTGTTTTCTTTTCCATCTCCCTCAGGAGATAAGGGAAAGAGCTSAGCACACATCATCACCTTACACAGATCCTTCTTAAAAATAAGAGCCTCCTTTTACCAAAAAATCCCCAATAAATCTATGTTTGAGCACAAATATAAATTAAAACTGTCCCAGGGCTGGATTGGGGTGGGCTGTGTGCAGCCTGATCCCCATAGGAAAACACAGGGCACCCCACAGGTAAACACAGGGACCCCCAATATGCAAACACGTGGACCTATTACAGGTAAATTCAACCCCCCCATACAGAAAAACACAGGGACCCCCCAAATTAAAAAGAGGGACCCCCCAATAGGTAAATACAGGGCCCACTATGGGTAACACACAATTCCCCCCCAATAAACACAGGGAGCCTCCAYAGGTAAACAAAGAGCACCCTACAGGTAAATACAGGGGCACCCACACAAGAATACAGAAGCACCCAAATAGGTAAGAGAGCCCCCCCAAAAGGTGCACACGGGGCACTCCATGGGTAACATATTGACCCCCCCAATAGATAAATACACAGGTAAATACAGGACACCCCACAAGTACACACAGGAACCCCCAAAATGTAACAGAGCATCCCCCCATAGGCACACACAGGGCACCCCATAGGTAAACACAGGTGCCCCACACGAGCACCCAGAGCACCCCATAGGTAACACAGGACCCCCTCATCAATAAACACAGCCCCTCCATAGGTAAACACAGGGCATCTCCACACAGGCCCCCCCAAAAGTAAACAAAGGCGTCCCCCCATAGATAAACACAGCTCCCCCCATTAGTAAACAAAGGCCCCCCACAGGTAAACACAGGCACTCCCCGCYCTACATAGACACAGGGTGCCCACAAACAAGCACCCCCAGCCCCCAACGGAGACCCCACAGTTAAACCCAGGCGCCCCACAGGCCTCCCGCCTCCGTGGCTCCCCCGGCCCCACCTCCCCACGACGGCTCGTTCAGGCCGGGCAGGGCCTGGCGCCGCGGCCGCTTCTCACTGGAGCCCGGGAGAGACCCAGCCCCCGAGAAAGCGCCATGCCAGCCCAGTCCGCTCCCCCCGAAGCCCCGGAGCGCCGGGCAGGATCGCCCCTCTCCCCGCGCCCCTCACCCGCCGTTACCGCCGCTCCCGCCTCACCGCAGCCCCTCCACCTCGGCGACGCTCGGCGTGACGCCACTTCCGGCCCCGCCCCGCGCGCGCGGCGCTCCGGCCKCCGGCGGGACCATAGAGACGGCGTGGGAGCCGCTCGGTGCGCATGCGCAGTGCCCGCCGCCGCTGGGGCGGTCCGGAGCGCTCCCGGGTCACTCCTGTCACACACCGGTGACACACCGGCCACACACCCGTTACACACTCGTTACTCCATCCCTCCGTCACCCCTCCATCACCTCTGTCACCTTTCCATTCCTTCATCCTCTCCATTCCCTCCATCATTTCTGTCACCCCTCCATCACCTCTGTCACCTTTCCATTCCTTCATCCTCTCCATTCCCTCCATCATTTCTGTCACACCTCCATCGTCTCTGTCACCTTTCCACTTACGGATGCTCAGACCACAACTTCCCATGTCATTTCCGTGGGAATTTGATGTTTATCGCCTTTCTTTGTTTGTTTTTTTAAGGGAAATTGTGAAAAGCTTCAGATTTAATCGTGCTYCGAGATTAGGATGAGCAAAGCAGGTAATGGCACGATGAAATATCCTCCCATAGACCACTCCCTGAAAGGTTAGGTTGGACCTGTTGATTCCATTTTTTCAAGGTTAGTCCTGGTTTTTAGTGAAGCCCTGAAGTGATCCAGAGCTTGGCATCACCTTTTTGCCTATCCCAGCTGGGATTTTAGACAGAAGGACCAGAAACAACTCCCATTGGGACTCAAAACTTCCCTCAGTGCCAGCCCACACATTTCCCATAGGAAAAAGCCTGATCCAACACAAAAAGTCAGATTTTTAAGGATAATAGGGAGGTGTGGGGTGGTTCCCCCGCCCCCCAAAAAAAAAATTTCTCAGTGGAATAACACCAGAAAGAGACTTAYGAAAATTTCTTAAAAGTGTTTATTGGGTTAGAAATACTGTGTGGTTTCCATCRCAGCGCACAGCTGCATTCCAAGCAGGCACAAACAGGCAAGAATTGCTGCTCCATTTGCCAGGAGGCTTCACCTTCCCACTGGCAASAGCTGAATGCAGCACAAGGCACCTCCTGCAGTCCTCAAACCAGTCTGGATACAGAAATCGATTGCTTGATAAAGAAAAAAAAAATAATAACCCCTGATATTAAGAAAGGCAGCAAATGCACAGTTAGTCTGAAAGGCAGGAGTGTCCTACTGTTCCCTGTCCCTTTTTCCCAGGAGGAAAATTTAATATCTCAATTTGTGAGCAGCACTGCTGGTGGTTTTTGCTGTTATTTTTTGTTTGTTTGTTTGTTTTAAATAATTGACACGAACATTCAGGAATTCATTCACATTCAAGGAATTGGGGCKTGCGGGCGCACCCAGGACGGGTCCCCTGGAGGTGGGCGCTGGCGCAGCCTCGAGAGCCCTTCTGAAGGCAGCGGGAAGCGCCCGTTCCCGTCGGCACGRGGAGCTGGAGGGTTTGGAAAAGAGACTTCCAGCTTCTTGTGGGCAAGGCTGGTCAGAGAGAAAAACTGATATTTGGGTGGAGTGAGACCGAGAACATCCCCGGAGCATCCTCCTCCCTTCCACGAGCTGCGATCTGYCCGAGAGACCTCCGCCGAGCGTCCATGCGGGAAAAACGATGGAACCGGCTCCAGAAGCCGGACAAAGCCGGTTTTATCCCTCTCCGCTCCCATTCCCGGGAGAGAAAGGAGCCTCCAACGCCGGGACACGCCGAGGGGCTGCTCCTCAAGCGGGACAGGCTCCGCCCGCCGGGGCTGCCTCCCCTCCGCGCCTACGGAGCGGCTTTTGCGGGAAAGCGCTGCTCGATGCGGAACGACTCGCACTTCTTGTACTTCATGGTCAGTCCGTACTGCGGCGTGATGTCCACCGGCTCGCCGGGCCGCAGCGAGAAGCGCAGCTGCTGCAGCAGCGTGGTGAGGAACAGGAAGATCTCCCAGCGGCCGATGGTCTCGCCGATGCAGCGCCGCTTGCCCAGGCCGAAGGACAGCACCTTGTCGCTCTCCGTGCGGTTCAGCTCCGTCCCCGCCGCGTTCAGGAACCGCTCGGGCTTGAAGGCGGAGGGSTCTTTCCACAGGGTCCTGGGGCAGAGGGGAGACGCTCCTGAAGGTGGGGTTTTGTCACAGCGGCACAGAATGGGGTGGGGGTATAAACTCTCAGCCCTTGCCATGGGCAGGGGCACCTTCCAGCACCTCCCAGCCTGGCCTCGGGCACTGCCAGGGGTCCAGGGGCAGCCACAGCTGCTCTGGGCACCCTGTGCCAGGGCCTCACCACCCTCACAGCCAGAATTCCTTCCCAAAATCCCGTCTGTCCCTGCTCTCTGGCAGTGGGAAGCCGTTCCCTGTGTCCTGTCCTGTTCCCTGTGCCCCTTTAGGCACTGAAAGGAGCTCTGAGCTCTCCCCAAATCCTTCTCTTCTCCCAGCCTGTCCCCGGAGCAGAGAGGCTCAGCTGGGAATTTCTCCTTTGATTTATGGAATCCTGTCTGCCCTAAGGACAGCATTCCCATTCCWTGCCCGTGCGGGAGCAGAAGGAATACTGGAAGGTTTCTGTGCTGTTGGGGTATTTGGGTACGAACATCTTAAGCTTTGATCCAAAATACCCCATGGGAATCACCTGCTATGCCAAACCTTGACCAATTTCCTCCCCTCTGGAATGTCTGTGCTGGGAAGCAGTGGAGGGCAGGGTGGGGTTCCCGGCCCCCCTGTCATTCCCAAAGCTGATTATCAGCAATCCCAACACGAGCCCGGTGAGTTTAACACATCACAACATCCCTTAAAAAAGGTACCAGGAAATCCCCATCGAGCACACCTCATTATAAATTGGGAATTAGAAATTACTGATTATAAATTGGGAATTAGAAATTCCTGATTATAAATTGAGAATTAGAGATTCCTGATTATAAATTGRGAATTAGAAATTCCTGAYTATAAATTGGTGCTGAGGAGCTGCTGAACCAGTGACCAAGTCAGACCCAGCCGGCTCCATGGCTCTCAGGATCAAACCCACAGTGTTTTGGGTCCAACCTGCCTTTTCCTTCGTGACCCATCTGTGTTTTTTAGCACAAGGATCAGCGTGACCTCAATGCCCGGAGAAGCCCCAGGAGCCCGGAGGAGCACAGGGGGGTGGGATACTCACTCGTCGTGGTTCACCTGCCACTGGTTGATGAAGACACAGGTGCCCTTGGGGATGAAGTAACCGTTCAGCRCCGTGGCTTTTGTCGTGCTGAAGGAAACACGAGTGGAAAGGGAAGTTAGAGACGACCCACAGTTCTGTGGTGAGGCAAAGCCTGGGTCCTGCTGGGATTTCATCTTCAAAGCCCTATTTGTGCTTTTAGGACTGGCCAGGAAATAYCCCAGATTGTATTTGGGAGATTAMATAGTCTCGGTTACGCTTTCCTCCGGCAGAAAAATTCCAGTTTCATTTCACAGCTCATTCCAGACGAGTTGTGATGTGGCTTCTCCCAGAGCAGGAGGATTTATAAACCCAGRGGCATTCTGCCAGCAAAGGTTTTTGGTGTGATGCCTCCCACAAAACAAAGGATTCAACCCCAGCAGGGCACCAAGCTGGAATATTTCCCCCTCCCAGAAAACTACTCCAAAAAATTAAAAAAAAAAAACAAATAAGCAGGTCCGTACCTGTGAGGGATGGTGAAGGGCACGAAGGAGGAGTGYCTGAACATCTCCAGGATGAAGGCTTCCGTGTAGGGCAGCGAGCCCCGGTCCGACAGCCGCGGCCGCCGCTCCCGCCCGATGCGCTGGTCTGGGGGAGGTGRGCAGMGGGAACAGGGTCAGGATTAACACTGACCACAGAGTTCTGATCCCAGGGGAAGGGGGGACTCATGSACTCACCMAGCTCCTCCTGAATCTTGCTCTGGATGTCGGGGTACAAGGCAACATACATGAGGCTCCAGGACAGGGCGGTGGCCACGGTGTCAAAGCCTGGATGGACACAGAAAGGGCATTTGGTCACCAGAAGAGGACAGATGTTGCAGATTCCATCACGCCAGATGTGTGTTCCCCCATCAGCTGCTACCAAAGAGCTCAGGAGGGCACCCTRTGGCAGCTCCACGCACCCAAAGGTGGCCAAGGTGTCACCCCAGAGATGTCCCCACCCCACCCACGCCCCCAGTGCGGCTCCAGCTGTGCCCTCAGAGGCATCCCCACCTGCCCCGAAGAGGTCGTTGACGATGTTGATGATCTTCTCACTGGAGAGCTGCCCACGGCTGTCGTCCCCGACGCTCTTCTCCTGGCAGTGGCCGATCAGCGAGTCCGTGATGTCCCTGATGTGCTCCTGGGGAAGAGCCGGTGCCTCAGGGACATCACGGACACACAGGGATGGGGAAAACTGCCCCAAATAGTGCTGGAACCCTGAGGGCTCCAAGGGACATTCCTGGGCAAGGTGGGGGGACAAGGGCGTGCCCTCTGACAGTCACAGGCACCTCCACCCCCACCCAGWACATCCAAACCCTTACCTTATCGAAGCTGGAGTAGTGCTCCTGCACAATTCTCTGCACGAAGGCGTTGAAGCGCCTGTTGAGGTCCTTGAAGATCTCCATGGTGCGGCTGGGCAGGTAGCGCAGCACGGGGATGAAATCGGCCGGGTGGCCGCTCCCGGCCACCTCCCCGAAATCGTTGCCGATGTCCACCAGGCTGAGCAGCTCCTGGTCATCGTGCTCGTAGCGCCGGCCGAAGCACATGGCACAGATGACGTTGGCCACCGACACCACCAGGTACCGGCTGAGATCAAACCTCTTCTCCTCCTCCATCAGCTGCAGGAATTTGGTGACCAGRTACTCGGCCTCCTTGGACACGTGCTCCTCCAGCAGGCAGGTGGAGGACGAGGTGGGGCTGGGGGCGATGGAGAAGCTCTTCAGGGCGYTCTGKGCCAKCTTYYTSMGSGCYTTCCACACATCYCCGGAGTCGGGGCTGAAMGYCATRCTCTGCCCRTYKGCGAYGWAGYGGAAGCTGGGCAGGTCGGGGCGCCCCATGAAGTCCTCTCCTTGCCTGACCAGCGCTTGCCTGATGGTGTCCAGCCCGCTGAGCACCAGCACGGGCCGTGACCCGATGCGCACCTCCATCACGTCCCCGTAGCGCCGGCTCAGCCGCTCCAGCGCCAGGTGCGTGTCCTTGCGCAGCTCCAGCACGTTCCCCAGCACGGGGAAGCCGCGGGGGCCCGGCGGTCTCCGCAGCCCCTCGGGCACGGGCGGCCGCTGCTGCAGCCGCTGGAGCAGCAGGAACACCAGGCAGAAGGCGGCGGCCGCCAGCAGCGCCTCGCTGGCCGACACCGCGCCGTGGCTGC